GGGGGGGCGGGGGCGGGGGGAGAGAATCGTGTGGCGGGGAGCGGGACTGACCCAGGCACATGCAGATCCCAGGGCGCTGCCTGCCCCATGCACGGTCCTGGCGAAGCGCGAGCGAGTCCGGCTGCGACTCCACAACGCACTTGACCAGCTCTCAGGAGCAGGGACGGGGCTTCTCCTCCTCCCCAAGGCATCGCTCCTGCGTCAGGTGCAATCAGAGGGTCCCAACGCCAATCGCGCCCCACCCCCCACCACCCCGCTCGCCGCAAACCAGAAAATACCAGCTATTGCACATGTCCGGTATTGTCTGAATTCTTTTTACTGGACAGAGGCCCAAAGACCGGACTGCCCGGTTGCATACCAGGCACCTGGCAGCCCTAGTGGTGCCCTGCCCTGCCGGTCCCTTTCCCCTAGCACAGCTGGCTGCATCCCCCTGGGCTGGTGTTGCCCCCTCAGGGTGGGCGCCCACCCAGTTGAGGCTCCGGGGGCTTTGCCTGGCTTCGATTTCCTTCCCCCTCCGGCATCGTGCCACCTTGCGTCCCTTTTCCGTTATAACCGTATTGCAGGGACATGGGCGCACGTTAGCCCTTACAGAATCCTAGAGCCCTAGAACTGGAAGGGATCTCGAGGGGTCATCGAGTCCAGTCCCCTGCCCTCATGGCAGGACCCAGCACTGTCTAGACCATCCCTGATAGACATTTATCTAACCTAGTCTTGAATATCTCCAGGGATGGAGACTCCACAACCTCCCTGGGCAATTTATTCCAGTGTTTGTCTACCCTGACAGGCAGGAACTTTTTCCTAATGTCCAACCTAAACCCCCCTTGCTGCAGTTTAAGCCCATTGCTTCTTGTCCTGTCCTCAGAGGCCAAGGAGAACAAGTTTTCTCCCTTCTTCTTGTAAAACCCTTTTGGATACTTGAAAACTGCTATCCTGTCCCCTCTCAGTCTTCTCCATTCCAAACTAAACAAGCCCAATTCTTTCAGTCTGTCCTTACAGCTCATGTTCTCTAGACCTTTCATCATTCTTGTTGCTCTTCTCTGGACCCTCTCCAATTTCTCCACATCTTTCCTGAAATGCGGTGCCCAGAACTAGACACGAGACCCCGGCTGAGGCCGGATCAGCACAGAACAGAGCAGGAGAACGACTTCTCGTGTCTTGCCCTTCATGGCCTGGCAGCCAGAGGTTTACGTTTAATGACTTTGCTCACTCTGGAAGGGCAGGAAGCTTCTCTGGACAACCCTAACTGGGCTTTTGCATGCCATGGAGCCGTCTGGGAAATGGAGGAGAGGCTAGAAGTCCTGCGCCACTCAACTCCTTCCCTCTGACGTTAAGCGTTTGACTTTCCTAACGAGGTCCCAGTTGTCCTAGATGCGGAAACGTCCCAGGAGATTTCATCTTCCTGCAAGAAGGGTAGGAAAGAGACAGCAGAGACGGCCACTTTCACCCCAGGCACAACGCACACCACTTAGGTATCTGCGCTGGGCATCCCAGACAGGAATCTGCCGACTGACAGAGAGCAAACACGCAAGTACGAGGTGTGAAGTCGGACGGTAGAACCTCCATGCCAGCCCCGGCGATGCTGAGCAAAGGAGCCCAGCGTGAAATAGACTCTTTGTAGAGGTGACTCGGTCTCTCTTGCCCTTCCCAGGGAAACCAGGATTGCGGGTGGATGGGGCGGCGGATAACGTCCTTCCTCTCTGGGTTTTAGCTTTCAGGTTGGGGGGGAATGGCTGAGCTCAATAGAGGCTGGACAGTTGTAGCTGCAGAGACCTGGCTTTTCAGAGCACCCCTGTCCCCTCGGCCAGGTTGGAAAGCGCAGCAGGAAGAAGATAGTTTGGAGCCTCAGGAATGGCTGCAGCGTCCTCCTTCCCGTCATTGCATCCACATGCCTCTTAAAAGGCAGGGGCCCCAAGCCACGCTCTCTCCCCCACCATTCAATTACACCCCCAGGCAGGGGCTGGGAGATGTTTCCCTTTCCATAACGCCGCACGTTCTCCTTGCTTGGCTTTTGCATTCCTGGGAATGTCCCTCTGGTCAGCCACGTCCATGCTCGGTCCTTTTAAATCACGGTTTGCTCCTCCTGGCTTGCAGGGTGCAGCCTGGACCAAAATACCCTCCCAGAGAACACGCTGCAGGGCTCTCTGAGCATTTGAATGCTCCGCAACGTGAGCGATTAGTGCAGCTCCATCAAGCCGGCCAACCTTATCAAAGCAAACAGGTGGCTGTTTTGCCCTGCACACAATTTCCAGCGCTCCCCATGCAGCTCTTTACATGGATGTAGCCTGTAGCTTGGGACTATGGGGATGCCATTTTTCCGAAAAAAAATCACTTATGTCCACCCTGCAATAGCGTTCTTTTGGGGGAAAAAATCAAAAGAGCAGAGGGGTTTTTCCGACATTGGTAAACATCTTTCTATGAGGAGGAAGCCTTTTTCCAAAAGAGCTCTTTCGGAAAAAGACGTGTGTGGATGGGGAAGAGGGAGTACTTCCAAAAAAAGAGGAAAGAGGAAAAAGCACAGGTGCCCTGGTGGCCACTCCATCCATACCAATCACAGCTGACATGCGAGAGAGCATCCATTCAGAGTGGACGCTATCTTTCGAAAAAGCAGATCTCTTTTTGATGTGCTTTGGCAGTGTGGACGCTCTCTTTCGGAAGAAGTTTTTTTGGAACATCTCTTTCAGAAACGCTTCTTCCTAAAGAAGCCTGCAGTCTAGACATAACCTATCTGGCCTGATGTTGGATGGATAACTGGCTTGATAACCGTTCTCAGAGAGTAGTTATCAATGGTTCACAGTCATGTTGGAAGGGCATAACAAGTGGGGTTCCGCAGGGGTCTGTTTTGGGACCAGTTCTGTTCAATATCTTCATCAGCGATTTAGATACTGGGAGAGAGAGTACGATTACTAAGTTTGTAGATGATACCAAGCTGGGAGGGGTTGCAAGTGCTTTGGAGGATGGGTCATAATACAAAGTGATCTGGACAAACTAGAGAAATGATCTGGACAAACGGAGGTAAATAGGGTGAAGTTGAATAGGACAAATGCAAAGTGCTCCATTTAGGAAGGCACAATCCGTTTCACACATACAGAATGGGAAGCGACTGTCTGGGAAGGAGAACGGAAGGAAGGGATCTCGGGTCATAGTGGACCACAAGTTAAATATGAATCAACTGTATAACACCATTGCAAAAAAAGCAAACGAGATTCTGAGCTGCATTAACAGGAGTGTTGTGAGCAAGACACGAGAGGTCATTCTTCTGCTCTGCTCTGCACTGGTTAGACCTCAGCTGGAGGCTTGTGTCCAGTTCTGGGCACCGCATTTCAGGAAAGATGTGGACAAAGTGGGGAATGTCCAGAAAAAAGCAACAAAAATTCTTAGACCTATGAGGGAAGATTGAAAGGTTATTACCAGGAGAAGGGAGAAAAATTGTTCTCCTTAATCTCTGGTGACAGGACAAGAAGCAATGGGCTGAAACTGCAGCCAGGGAGGTTGAGGTTGGATATTAGGAAAAAACTTTCAAACTGTCAGGGGGTGAAACACTGGACTGAATTGCCCAGGAGAGTTGTGGAATCTCCATCTCTGGAGATATTGAAGAGCAGGTTGGACAGACGATGGTCTAGATGGTGCTGGTCCTGCCGGGAGGGCAGGGGACTGGACCGGATGACCTCGCGAGGTCCCTGCCAGTTCTAGGGTTCCAGGAGTCTGTTTCGTGTCATGAAAACAGTGTCTGGAGAGAGTGCCGGTTGCTTTGAGCTGCTGTTTGTGAAGACCAAAAGCCTGCTGCAGACACGGAGCCGCGTGTCCACGTACAGTGTGAGTCGCTTTCCCAGTCATCAGAGCCAGCAGGAAAAGAAGTTAGGGGACATTTCTCTTTAAATCTCTCTTTCGTGTTCTCTTCCAGGGATGCTGGGTTCTCTCTGGGCACTACCCATGGCCAGTGCAGACTGGAGCAATAAAACCGTCACAGAGTTCGTCCTGCTGGGATTCGGGGATCTCCCGGAGCTGCAAATTCTTCTCTTCCTTCTTTTTTCAGCAATCTACGTTCTGACCATGGCCGGGAACCTCCTCATCGTAGCCCTGGTTGTGGCTGAGCAGCATCTCCACACCCCCATGTACTTCTTCCTGGGGAACCTGTCCTGCCTGGAGACCTGCTACTCCTCCACCATCCTGCCCCGGCTGCTGGCCGGGCTCCTGACGGGGGACAGGACCGTTTCCATCTGCGGCTGCCTTGTGCAATATTATTTCTTCGGTGTCTTTAGCACCACGGAATGCTACCTCTTAGCCGTCATGTCCTACGACCGGTATTTAGCCATATGCAAGCCCCTGCACTACGGCGCCCGTATGAATGGCAGGATCTGTCTCCTGCTAGTAGCTGGGTCTTGGATCAATGGCCTTTTGCCTGTGACCGTGACTGCATCTTTGATGTCTCAACTGCCTTTCTGTGGCCCCGGTAAGATTGATCATTTCTTTTGTGATTTCTCCCCCGTGCTAAGCCTCTCCTGCAGCGACACCCGCCTGATAGAGTTTTTGGGTGTTGCCCTGTCTGGGTTATGTTCTCTGCCCCCATCTCTACTAACGGTGACATCTTACATTTGCATTATCACCTCCATCCTGAGCATCCCGTCCACCACGGGGCGGAAAAAGGCCTTTTCCACCTGCTCCTCCCACCTCGTTGTGGTGACCATGTTCTATGGGACCCTGATGATTGTGTATCTCCTCCCCAAAACTCCAATACTGCGAGACCTGAACAAAGTGTTCTCTGTCTTCTACACTGTTCTGACCCCCCTGGTCAACCCACTCATCTACAGCCTGAGGAACGCGGAGGTGAAAAAGGCCCTGAGAAAGGCAGTCGGCAAATGTGGATTTCTCAAGAGTGTGAGGTCATTGAACTAGAAAATGTACTGTCCGTGGGAAACTGACTTTAATGTTGGGTGTAGTGTGATCAGTTCTTCAGAACAGCTAGTGGTGACGTGTAGGATGGTAAAGGGGTTGCTACCCTGATAGTATGATAGTCCAGATTTCTCCTGGGTCAGCATCATTGGGTGATGTTCCCTCTCATCTTTTCCATTCATGTGCAGATTTTTCATGTGAAGAATAAATTTTGTTGTGCAGTAAGGTATGTGTGGATGTGCACCACCAATAGAAACACAAACCTAGCTGGGTGGCAGCTCTCGTGAGCAGTTGCTCAAGTGCCCAGCTTACAGGAAACCCTCACTCCCGACTCTGCTGAAATAAATGGCAAAACTCCCATTGACTTCAGCAGCGCAGTTTCACTTGTTAAAACAACGTGTCCTCCAAAGGTACGTCCCCAGCGTGGTGCCTGCTTTGCACAGTGCAGCGTCAGTCGGGTTGGTAGCATTGTATTTTAGTACACACGTATCGGTGCATGTTGATTTCTCTAGACACACACGTGTGACAAAATCACAGAAAGCTGCACCCAGCCAAGAACGAGAAATGCTGCTTGGAAGCTGACTAGAGTCGGGGTCCGGGCTCGTGGCTTTGTCCATTTCGGCAGGTGCTGTGGACAATTTGTGCTTCTGCGGTTAGAAAGCTTTTGTCCTGAGTCTGTGTCCCGAGTCGTTCAACGAGTGTCTAGTTCCATTCAGCCCCGAACCCTGCGGGACGAGGGAAGGAGCTGGCTGGCTAGTGTCGGCCCCAGGTTGGTTGTTTCCAGTTCGGGGTCACAAAGGGACTTGGGCACCACTCACAGGTGCAGGTTCCCGCGAACCTTTCTCCTGTTGGTTAGGCCCTCGGCTCAGCGCCCCTCCAGACGCCTGTACCCCTCCAGACGCCTGTACCCCTCCAGACGCCTGTACCCCTCCAGATGACTAACCCTCCAGATGCCTGTAACCCGTTCAGGAGTCCAATGTGCCCTGCGTACCCCAGCTTCACCGCACTTGAAAGTGACTTGCTTACACAACCAGACGTGCATGGTACACCGTACAGCACGCTCCCTGGGAAATGGCTCCTTTTGCGTTTTTACCACCCAACTGTAAAGCCAGCCAAGTGGAGTATAAATACCGCGTGGACATCCCAGCATAGAGCAGCACAGTCTGTCACAAAACAAGGCAGATCTCTGGCTGACCCCGTGGGCTGACCTCTGCGTACCCCCCAAGGTACATGTTCCCCTGGCTGAGGGCCACCTGCGATGTGGGAGGCCAGAACTCAATGCCCCGGTGCAGAGAAAAGATTTGAACCTGGATCCTTGTCTCTCAGGAGAATAGTTAGGGCGCTTTCTGAGAGTTTGGGGTGGGGGCGCTGCCTGGGGTCTTGGGGTAGAGGGTGCAGCTCTGCTTCCTGGTGGCTCTAGTGGGGCCAGAGGTCTGATGGCCCATGACCAGTTGGTGTGTTTGCTTCCCATTCATTAAACAGAATTTCTCCAGGGTGGGAAATGTTTGTGTCCCTGACCCCAATGGAAAAATACCTAATTCAAGATGGATTCCAGCACCAGGTGGCATGGTCACATGTCTTTGTAGGACCAACCACGGCTTAGTCCTACAGGAAACACAAGACTATTCACAGCTCTTGAGCACTGGGCCATTACGTTCACTGACTAGCACGAACGGCTTTCACTAGAAGACCTAGATTAATAAACACAATTACACTTTATATTTCTAACATCCCATACAAGAGTGACACATGCTCACACAGAATACACACATCCCGGGGATCACAAGCTCTTCAATAATAGGCTACTTGCTCTGTTTTGCATAAAACATAGTTGTTATACATATTCGCAGGGGAGAGATCACTTGCCTATTCCCTCTGGGGCACCTGGCATTGGCCACTGCGGGCCAACAGGACATTGGACTAGATGGACCTTTGGTCTGACCCAGTCTGGCTGTTCTTCTGTTCATTCAAAACATATTCCATAAAAATATGGGGGTGCACTGTCCCTCTCCCCAACAAAAAATTGTAGAGGATGGCAGTTTTTATCTGAAAGTGTTTTCATTTTCAGCAAGTTTGGGTCAGAGTGTTCAATGTTCAGATGATTTTTTTTTTTGGATTTTTGACTGTTGAAAATTGAAAAACAATTGGTCAAAACTTTTCCAAAACAAGAACACATTCCGACCAGCTGTACAGATCACAGCCTGTTGTGACGTGGTGAGGAATAAGATGTTGATACTGCGTGAAATACAGGGAAACAGAAGTATTTCCAACGTCTCATAGATGATATTCCACTATTTTCTTGTGGTGCACCATCCCGTAGACACAGAAGGCCAAGATTTTCAGAGGCTGCTGTGAGATCTGCAAGACCCAATACCCTTCAGTGTTGAGAAAGGGCTTCTAAATCCCCTACGCAGCTTCAAGAATTTTAGTCATTGGCTTCTTCACGTTTAACTGAGTCCACAGCTAGAGTGGCATCCCCTTCGAAGTGTAGAAAAGGCCTTCTCCATCCAAGGATTCTCAGCTGTTTAACTACATCAGAACTTGTCTACATATAGGGCCTGGAAATCTATTCTGACTTTATTTCAAGTAGCACAGAACCCCATTTGTGGACGCTTGTTTTCTTTTAAAAAGAGGCTTGTTTTGGCTTTGTTTATGTCAGTCAGGAACACATGTAAGCTAAAAAATGGGAGAGGCTCAGACAAGAGCTAGGAGAATATTTCAAAGCTGGAAAACCTGCCTTTGAGGAAGAGGTTTAAGAAGCTCCATGTTTCCTTTATCCAAGAGAAGGCTACGGGTAGAGCCGATCCACAGCTTCTCTGTAAAAAAATGTTCCAGTCATAAAATTCTGACTCGTCAAAATCAGAACTTTCCCCTGAAAGTTACCCCCATCCTGCCAACGTTTCTCCCACTACAGACAAGCCCTAGATTAGCCAATAGACGATGCTACTGATGTTGCTTCAGGTTCTTACAATCAGGCAGTTGTATTTTACCAGAGAGCATAATTAATTATTGGAACCACTTCCCTAGTGATGTGGCAAACTCCCCATCACTTGGAGTCTTTGCCGCAAGACCAGTTTCATGCCTTTCTAATGGATACGCTCTAGTTTGTATGAAATGCACGGCTTGGTGAGGGAATCAACTGGTCGCGGTCCGTTGATCTAGTCTGCAGGAGGTCAGAGTTGATTTGCTAATAAGCCTTCTTCCCTTACAATTTATCTTGAGCTTTCCTGGGTAAAACCCACTTCATCAGACGAATTGGAGTCATTGTGTGAATCAGCCACTCATAGCCTACAGGAAGGGTGTCCACACTGGGGTTTGCACCAGTCAGACTAAACCGGTTTAATTAAAATGCTGCATCTGTGTGTGTAGAGAAGGGCTCCGTTTGGCCCCAAGTGACGTTAAACGCTGGGCTGTTTCTGTGATGGACAAGGCTTGGAAAACAGAGAGAACGTGCAAGTGCTTAACAAACATTAGCTGTCAATACAACTAGGAAGGATTCTTTCCAATTCCCGGGAGACAGGCCATGAATTTAATGAGCCCATTTGAGATCCAGCGCGCCGAGCAGCCCAGGGACTCTCCTCTCCAATGCCGTGATTTCACGTATAAAGAGCATCCCTTGCAAACCGTCTGTGTGGTCAGAACACGAGCCAGCTGCACACCCGCGGTTAGACGTCTAGTCCACCTGCAGGTAGGGCGGCTAGCAAAGCGTGCAATGTGTTTCGGTTCTAGAGCCCGGGGCTTGCTCTGATTTCAATGGGACCTGGCTGCTTGGTGAAAGTAGAGCTCCTTAAAAGCCTGGCTACCAGCCTTCACGCCTGGCTTGTTCTCTTGTGCATTTCCTTCTGTTTCTGAACCGAACAGGGACAGGACAGCGGTGGCAAAGATGCCAGTACCCTGAGCCTGCCTGAGACTGGCCAGGTAAGTGCCTGCTGTTTACTCTGGTCTCTATAATGCGCCATGTGAGACAGGCCAGGAGGCAACGGTGGCAGCTGGCAAGAGAGACAGTTCTACAATGCTGGCTGCTTTCGAAAGGGACCCTGTAATGGGGGATCCCTGCATGTCGAGTGCCTGGCTTTCCCCCGGCCTTAAGGCTTGGAAACGCCGCAGGATTCCTTGGAGAGTCTGACCTGCAATTGTCCAAGTGAGGAGCCAGTGCAAAACAGCCAATTTCCTGCATTGCAACAGGCCCCGGTTCTGACCTTCACTTCAGGAGTAGAACTTCATCCTGGCTCCCTGCAGCATTTTCTTCTCCGGCTTCCCAGACGCAGGCTGGCCCCAGAAACGCCTCTTCCTTTCTCATCCCTTTGGTCACGCAATCCCCCTAGAGCCCTTCCTACCAGTGTTGCTTCTTGTCACGGACTTCCAAGCTCTACAGAGTTCTATGTCCCCCGCCCCTTGGTTATCTCTTCCTCTCGGCCCCCGACCCGCCACTAACAGAACCAGCCTCACCCGCCCTCTTGCCGGATTCTCACCCAGCCACCCCTCTGCCATCTTCCACACAGCCACCTATCCATTGTCCACCCTCACCCCATGAGAGCCCCTCTCCACCCCTAGCCCTGTCACTCTGGGTTGCCGAATCTAGCTGTGAAAGATACATCCATGAGTGTGTGTGTGTAACTCACCTTCACCTGACCTCTGCTACTTGTCTGTCCTTAAACTGGGAGCTCCTCAAAGCAGGAATTGTCCTCTTAGGAAAGTGCCTAATGCACCGGGGGGCATTCTCCTCTTAGCATAGATGCCATCCTAGATATTGTTATAGATTTACATATATTAGATATTGGCATAGAGAGGACACGTATTAAGTTTGCTGATGATACCAAGCTGGAAAGGGTTGCAAGTGCTTTGGAGGAGAGGGTCAGCAAGTTTGCAGATGACAATAAGCTAGGGGGAGAGGTAGATACGCTGGAGGGCAGGGAGAGGGTCCAGAGTGACTTAGACAAATCGGAGGATTGGGCCACAAGAAATCTGATGAGGTTCAACAAAGACAAGTGTAGAGTCCTGCACTTGGGACGGAAGAATCCCAAGCATTGGTACAGGCTGGGGACCGACTGGCTAAGTAGCAGTTCTGTAGAAAAGGCCCTGGGGGTTACAGTGGATGAGAAGATGGGTCAACAGGGCACCCTTGTAGCCAAGAAGGCTAATGGCATATTAGGTTGCATTAAGAGGAGCATTGCCAGCAGATCCAGGGAAGTGATTATTCCTCTTTACTTGGCTCTGGTGAGGCCACATCTGGAGTATTGTATCCAGTTCTGGACCCCCCAATTACAGGAAGGATACGGATGCTTTGGAGAGGGTCCAGCGGAGGGCAACCAAACTGATTAGGGGGCTGGAGCACATGACCTACGAGGAGAGGCTGAGGGACTTGGGTCTGTTTAGCCTGCAGAAGAGAAGAGTGAGGGGGGATTTGGTAGCAGCCTTCAACTACCTGCAGTGAGGTTCCAAACAGGCTGGAGAGAGGCTGTTCTCAGTAGTGATGGATGCAGAACAAGGAGCAATGGGCTCAAGTTGCAGGTTGGATATTAGGAAAAACTATTTCACTAGGAGAGTGGTGAAGCACTGGAATGGGTTACCTAGGGAAGTAGTGGAGTCTCCATCCCTAGAGGTGTTTAAGTCTCGGCTTGACAAAGCCCTGGCGGGATTGGTCCTGCCTAGCGCAGGCGGCTGGACTTGATGGCCTTCTGAGGTCTCTTCCAGCTCTGTGGTTCTATGATTCTAATTCAAACTGATCTGGACAAACTAGAGAAATTATCTGAGATAAATAGGATGACATTCAATGAGGACAAATGCAAAGTGCTCCACTGAGGAAGGAACAATCCGTCTCTCACACACAGAATGGGAAGCGACTGTCTAGGAAGGAGTATGGCAGAAAGGAATGTAGGGGTCAGAGTGCACCACAAGCTGAATATGAGTCAAAAGTGTGGTGACGTTGCAAAAAAAGCAACATGATGCTGTGAGCAAGACACGAGGAGTCATTCTTCTGCTCTACTCTGCGCTGATTAGGCCTCAGTTGGAGTATTGTGTCCAGTTCTGGGCACCACATTTCAAGAAAGATGTGGAGAAATTGGAGAGGGTCCAGAGAAGAGCAACAAGAATGATGAAAGGTCTAGAGAACAGGAGCTAGGAGGGACAACTGAAGGAATTGGGTTTGTTTAGTTTGGAAAGGAGAAGGCTAAGAGGGGACATGGTTGCAATTTTCAAGTATCCAAAAGGGTGTCACAGGGAGGAGGGAGAAAAATTGTTCTCCTTGGCCTCTGAGGATGGGACAAGAAGCAATGGGCTTAAATTGCAGGGAGGTTTAGGTTGGACATTAGGAAAACTTCCTGCCTGTCAGGGGGGTTAAGTACTGGAATAAGTTGCCTGGGAGGTTGTGGAATCCCCATCTCTGGAGATATTTAAGAGTAGGTTACTAGATGGTGCTTGTCCTGCAGTGAGGGCAGGGGACTGGACTTGATGCCTCTCAAGGTCCCTTCAATTTCTAATGTTCTATGACTTCATGATGCTCATATTCCCATTGTTACCACGATGATTATAACAGCATGCTACCCCCATGTCTAGCTCCTCAGGTGGTGTCAATTAGCATAACCCCATTGATTTCACAAGAACTGCACTGACTTCCCCCAGCTACGGACCCATGCTGCTGCCTCCCTCTTCTGTCATGCCACCGCCCTCTGCGTCCGGGAAGCTACAGCGCTGTGAGATCCGTATCTGGCTCAGAACGCATTCTCGTGAACTAGAGAAAATGCTGACGTCACAGGCGTCTGGCAATGGACACCAGAGGAAGCGGCGCAGAGCCCAAGTATGGACTAAGCGCAGAGATTAAGGAAAGCTGTCTCTCGGGAGGAGGGGGAGAAATCTGTCACCCTCAGAACAAAGTTCAGTAGAACCAGGCTCCCTCGGTCCTCGCAGTTGTGGTGTCACAGTCGTTTCAGTTGTAGTTACATCGCCAGGGTGTGAGGGCTTTGTTCCTCACGGCTGTGCCTGCGCGTCATCCTTTCTCTTCGCACGACACAACTGCAGAGGGGCTCTACTGCCAAGGGCCCCTCTCAACCCCTGGGCTCCTAAATATCTTTGAAAATGCGGTCCCTGGGTCCTTTCAACATTGCCCCACTCTCCAGGCCACTGAGGAGAACACGCCCTTCATGCCTCTGACACGACTGTATTTCTCTCCTACAGAGAATCCGTATCAGCCCTCCACCAGCATTAGGTGCTGCCCCATCATCTCACCCAGAGCAGATTTTCAACCAAGTGCCTTCTAATTGAGAGGTAAGCGTTGATAAGAACACAGACGGGTCAGAGCAAAGGCCCGTCCAGCCGAGTGTCCTGGCTGCCCACTGTGGCCAGTACCAGGTGCCCCAGAGGGAGGGAACAGAACAGGGAATCATCCAGTGACCCCTCCCCTGTCGCCCATTCCCAGCCCCTGACAAACAGGCCAGGGACACCATCTTTGCTCAGCCGGGCTAACTGATGGACCGATCCTCCATGGATCCTCCATGCATTTCTACGGGTTGGCTGCGTCTAGACTGTCACTCGGGCTCTCTGGGCTGGGCGGGGGCTGACAGGCCCGCCGGGAGCTCCTGGGCAAGGATCAGTTTGGCCCATGGGAGAGTTTGATGCTGTTTGACTCGGGGCTTTCTCTCCCCTGCACCGCCCCTCCCCCAGCAGCGGGACCCGCTCTGCCCTTCCGACAGACCCTGTGCCCCATGGATCAGCCCCACTGCACCAAGCTCCTCTGGTGCCTGTTACAACAAGCGCCTCCGTCAACATGGGAAACATTGATTCCAATGGGAGTTAGGTGCTTTAACTGCTTCAGTGTCATTTCCAATCCCAAAAGGAAACTATTTGCATCATTAGGTTGTCACCGAGGGGTGGGGAGCCACCGGGCCCTGCACCCCCATCTGCAGCCAGGTGTGACTCAGCTAGCAGGTAGAACAGCAGGTTGATTAGTTCACAGGGATACAGTGTAAAATAGACTTGTTAGCACAGGGACGACCAGGAGCAGCCAGTACAGCCCAGCTTGGGGAGAGGGGCCCAGAGCCAAGGCCCCCTCCCTGTATCCTGAGCCAGCTGAGTCTCCCCCACACAGCCCTGCCTCCTCCACTGCCCAGCTTCTGGGGCAAAAGGAGCTACCTGGTCGCTCCCCCTCCCAGGCTCATGTTACAGAGAGCCTGGGCCATTGGGTATGTACAGGGCCTGGGGCAGCCCCCCTCAGAGAGAGTCACACCTGAAATTCCCATTGCCAGCTAGGTATTGGTGCAGTGCCCAGGGAAACTGAGGCGCGCACACGGGGATTCCACCGGACAGTAGAAATTGCATCACAACAAAACAGTGAACAGAGCGAATACCATGCCCCCTTCGCCACGTAGGTGCCTAAGGACCGTTGGAACCCTGGCCCCAAATGTTTTGTCTAAGATGAGGAGAAATGTCGAGGGTTCAAATTCTATGCTTGCATAGAATCATAGAATCATAGGACTGGAAGGGACCTCGAGAGGTCAGCGAGTCCAGCCCCCCGCCCTCAAGGCAGGACCAAGCTCCATCTACACCATCCCTGACAGATGTCTATCTAACCTGTTCTTAAATATCTCCAGAGAGGGAGATTCCACCCCCTCCCTTGGCAATTTATTCCAATATTTGGCCACCCTGACAGTTAGGAATTTTTTCCTAATGTCCAATCTAAACCTCCCCTGCTGCACTTTAAGCCCATTACTCCTTGTCCTGACCTCAGAAACCAAGAGGAACAAATTTTCTCCTTCCTCCTTGTGACACCCTTTTAGATATTTGAAAACCGCTATCATGTCCCCCCTTAATCTTCTTTTTTCCAAACTAAACAAGCCCAGGTCATGAAGCCTGGCTTCATAGGTCATGTTCTCTAAACCTTTAATCATTCTTGTCGCTCTTCTCTGTACCCTTTCCAATTTCTCCACATCTTTCTTGAAATGTAGCGCCCAGAACTGGACACAGTACTCCAGCTGAGGCCTAACTAGTGCAGAGTAGAGCGGCAGAATGACTTCACGAGTTTTGCTTACAACACGCCTGTTGATACAACCTAGAACCATATTTGCTTTTTTTGCAACAGCATCACACTGTTGACTCATATTCAACTTGTGGACCACTATGACCCCTAGATCCCTTTCCGCCATGCTCCTTCCTAGACAGTCGCTTCCCATCTTGTATGTATGGAACTGATTGTTCCTTCCTAAGTGGAGCACTTTGCATTTCTCTTTATTAAACCTCATCCTGTTTACCTCTGACCATTTCTCTAACTTGCTAAGGTCATTTTGAATTATGTCCCTATCCTCCAAAGAAGTTGCAACCTCACCCAGTTTGGTATCATCTGCAAACTTAATAAGCGTACTCTCTATCCCAATATCTACATCATTGATGAAGATATTGAACAGTACGGGTCCCAAAACAGACCCTTGCGGAACTCCACTTGTTATCCCTTTCCAGCAGGATTTAGAACCGTTAACAACAATTCTCTGACAAGTGGCTGGCACCCAATAAAAAGGTCTGGGGGCCCGGAGCCACCGACGCAGGATGGGACATTATGCTCAGCGATTGAGAAGTGGGATTTCTGTAGCTGACGTGGAATTGCACGCCACTCTCCTACATGCCCACAGAGTAAACGTCGGTGCTTTCAGTGACAGGGCAGGGAGGCGCTGGGCTGGGTTCCCTGGGGAGGGGGTGGAATCTCCGTTCCCAGAGGTTTCTAAGTCCAGGCCTGACCAAGCCCTGGCTGGGATGGTTGAGTCGGGATTGGTCCTGCTTTGGGCAGGGGCTGGACTCGGTGCCTCCTGAGGGCTCTGCCTGCCCTGGGAGTCTGTGATCTCGGTGGGAATATTCAAAGTACCCTACTAGACTTTGACACTCAATTAATGGGAACTTGGCCCCAAATCCCCTCGGCAGTTTTGGAAAATCCCAGCCACCACTTCCATGGGCAGTCGCTCCTCTCGTTCGGTGGCTGATCTAATAGGAGCAGTGAGGCATTCCGGTTCCTGCAGTACATGGTGTCGGGAGACGAGAGCCATGTACTGAGGCAGGGCTGCATTACACCGGCCGGGTCTGGTCCCCGAATCGCTCGGGCTGTGCTTGATTTGCGCTGTGCTTTCCCCAGACGCCGCGCCCATGGCAGACGCGGAGAGGGGGAACCAAAGCCATGTGACGGAATTCATCCTCCGGGGCTTCCACATCCCCTACCCGTTCCGCATGGGCCCCTTTGTGCTGGTTCTGCTCACGTACCTCACCACTGTGCTGGGGAACACCCTGATCATCGTGGCGGTGCTGGTGGACCGGGGCCTGCACACCCCCATGTATTTCTTCCTGGGGAACTTGTCCTGCCTGGAGATCTGGTACACGTCCAACCTCGTCCCCAGGATGCTGCAGGGTCTCCTGGCCGAGAAGGGCGTGGTGATCTCCTTCGGCGGCTGCATCGCCCAGCTGTATATCTTCGGCTCCCAGGCAGCCACCGAGATCCTACTGCTCACGGTGATGGCCTACGACCGCTACCTGGCCATCTGCCACCCGCTGCGCTACACGGCCCTCATGAACGGGAGGGTGTGCGTCGAGCTGGCCTCCTGCTCCTGGCTCGGCGGCTTCCTCTTCAACCCCATCATCATGGCCTGGATTTACAGGCTGCGCTTCTGCGGCCCCAACGAAATCGACCATTTCTTCTGCGACTTCCTGCCCCTGGTCACGCTCTCCTGCAGCGACACCCGGCTCATCACCTTGGCCGCCTTCCTGCTCTCCAGCACCGCCACCCTCATCCCCTTCCTGCTCACCCTGACGTCCTACGCGCTCATCTTGGCGGCCATCGTAAAAAACCCGTCCCGCGCCGGGCGGCGGAAGGCCTTCTCCACCTGCACCGCCCACCTGACGGTGGTCAGCACCTTCTACGGAGCCCTGGCCATTGTCTACATGGTGCCCACAGCCAGCACAGCCGTGAACCTCAACAAAGTCTTCTCCCTGCTCTACAGCCTGGTCACCCCGCTGCTCAACCCCCTGATCTACGCCCTGCGCAACAAGGACGTGAACGAGGCCCTGCGGACAATGGCTGCGGGGCTGGTGGGCTCCCGAAGGAGGGGGAGGGGGAAAGAGAAAGCGGGGATTTAAAAATGGAAACCACAGCAGGACCTCCGCTGTGAGCCCCTCGGACACGGAGGCTGTTCGCAAGGCTGAAATGTTTCTTCCTCTGGACACAAGGTTGGGGCTGTTCTTTCACGCGCTCGTTAGCAGAGCTCCGCACGCGGAAGAAGCTGCTTTCCCTTTGTGGTTAGTACATTGTGGTTAACGGAGCACTGTGCTGTTTGCTTTCATGTTGGGGGCAGGTTGTTGTTACCTCTGTTGCTGCCTGATTAACAGCCTCTCTCCATCCTCTTTGGAACCCCCCTTCAGGGACCTGCAGGCTGCTACCAAATCCCCCTCACTCCACTCTTCTACTGAACAAGCCCAAATCCCTCAGCCGCTCCTTGTAGGTCGTGCTCCAGCCCCTGGTCGGTTTGGTTGCCCTCCAAGGCATCCACAACCTTTTTGTAGTGGGAGGCCCAGAACTGGATGCAATACTCCAGATGTGGTGCCGAATAAAGGGGAATAATCACTTCCCTAGAGCTGACGGCAATGCTTTTCCTAATGCACCCCATGAGCCATTAGCCTTCATGGCTCATCTGTGGACTCATCCTCAGCGTCTCACCCACTGGAACCCCAGGTCCCTTTCTGCCGAACCCCAGCCTGTAGCAATGCCTGGGGTTCCTCCGCCCAAGGGCAGGACTCTGCACTTGTCCTTGTTGAACCCCATCAGATTTCTTGTGGCCCAACCCTCCAATCTGTCCTGGTCACTCTGGACCCTCTCTCTGTCCTCCAGCGTATCCACCTCTCCCCCTGCTTAGTGTCATCTGCGAAGTAGCAGGGGGTGCAACCCCTCCCCTCGTGATCTGAGATACTTTTGTTAGTCTCTAAGGTGCCGCAGGACTGCTCATTGGTCTTCGGCGTGTGCCCCCCATGGCTAGAGTAGCGAGGGGCTTGCTGCCCATGGGGACACGCTACCAGGGCAGATTGTGGGGCAGTGCTGGTACCTGGGGATACAGGTAAGGCAGCTCCCGGGGCTTTTCACATGAGCGTCTATTGATTTCAGGGGGGCCTAGCTACCACGGCCCATCTGCAGATCCCATGACGCGCCCACACAGGGAGTTACGCGTTAGAACCACAGTGCTGAGGCAGGGCCGCTAAACCCTCGGCCAGCCCCGAGAGGCTGTTCCTCAAAGCCGCCAGGGACCCCCTGGTCCGGCGCGTCGTGGCCCTGGGCGCTGGGACACTGGTTTGCTCACGTCTCACCACCTCCGCCCCTCGCTCCTTGTCCTGCCTGCCGCGGGACCAGGGATCCATGGGCCCCTGCGCCCTTTAGAACAGCCTGGAACCTATTTGCTCCCCGGCAGCCGCTCCTCTCTGCCTTCCCGGCTCGGGACCAGACCGGCCCCCGGGTCGAACGTTTCCCTCCCAGGGCAGGGCTCTCTCCCTTTGCTCGCCTCTGGACTCTCTCCGGTTTGTCTGCGGACACAGGCAGGCCACCAGGGGTGGGAGGCAAAGGAGGCAGTGGCCCCAGAAGGGTAGCAGCGGACGGAGCCCCAGGCCCTATAAATCACTGGGGGCTGCCTGGGGCAG